TTCAACTCCCAGAATTCCCCAGCCAGCATGCTGGCTGGGGAATTCTGGAAGTTGAAGTCTGTCTGTCCTCCAGTTGCCAAGGTTGAGAAACACTGCTCTGTAGTAAGATTTGCCATTGGAGGTACCTCTCTACTTGTTGAGAGGTAAAATAAATATCCATGAACAATTTACCAGAGTTTTACAATGGGGTAAAAAAGTATTTAGTCAGCCACCAATTGTGCAAGTTCTCCCACTTAAAAAGATGAGAGAGGCCTGTAGTTTTCATCATAGGTATATTTTTTTTCTCATTTTGTCTCTCATAGTTAAGGTATACCTATGATGAAAATTACAGGCCTCTAAATTCTTTAAAAATCAGACAATGTGATTTTTTGGATTTTTTCCATTTTTTTTCTCATTTTGTCTCTCATAGTTAAGGTATACCTATGATGAAAATTACAGGCCTCTAAATTCTTTAAAAATCAGACAATGTGATTTTTTGGATTTTTTCCATTTTTTTTCTCATTTTGTCTCTCATAGTTAAGGTATACCTATGATGAAAATTACAGGCCTCTAAATTCTTTAAAAATCAGACAATGTGATTTTTTGGATTTTTTCCATTTTTTTTCTCATTTTGTCTCTCATAGTTAAGGTATACCTATGATGAAAATTACAGGCCTCTAAATTCTTTAAAAATCAGACAATGTGATTTTTTGGATTTTTTCCATTTTTTTTCTCATTTTGTCTCTCATAGTTAAGGTATACCTATGATGAAAATTACAGGCCTCTACCTATGATGAAAACTACAGGCCTCTCTCATCTTTTTAAGTGGGAGAACTTGCACAATTGGTGGCTGACTAAATACTTTTTTGCCCCACTGTAAGTGCTCTGTCCTCCTTTTGAGACAAAGCCCTAGACAGGCCCTGGGAAAACAGGGCTTCTCTAAGCACTGCAGCTTTGTCATTGTTTTCATTTCCATTCTCCTGCTGGGAAAGGTTGCAGTGAATAAGATCCTCCCCAACCCTGACTGTAAAACCTTGGAATTTTTTCCCCCACTCCTTTGCATTTAAAAAACATCCTGGGAAGTTATAGTTTCCCTTACCACAACTGGAAAGGCTATTACAAGGCCAACAGGCAACTGACACAGACATGCCCAGTTGCATTATGCAGCATATGGAGGTGAGGGACTTAATGCAGGAGATTGTGACTGAGCAGGAAACAGCTACTGGGTGTTATAGTATTTCAGTCCATTTGGTTTACATCAGACTAACTTCATTCATGCAACATAATATAATATAGTTTGCTTAAACCTGGTGTGTTGAACAGGCCACGACAGCCTAACTTCACAAGTCATACTAAGCACATTACAAACCACATGCAGAGTGAACCTGGGCTATGCTGTCACCAAGACAAAGTCTGACCTTTTCAGAAATGAGCATGATTAGACCAAAGCTGTACTGGCTCCAAATACTATCTGGAGATCCAGAAAAACTCAGGGGCTATTGGTATTTCTAGTTATCTCCAAAAGGATTGGAGAAAATGAGAGCTTTTTTAGTCTGCCTGTCTTATAACATTAGCAGGTTCCTTCTGTGAAAACTGATTGGCCTGGAATTCCTGACCAGGCAAATAATATATTTTGTCACTCAGAAGAGCATGGATATACCAAACCTCCTGCCACAGGATGGTGTGGTCGTAGGCTTAGCTGGTTTAAAAGAATTTAATACATTCTTGGAGAAGGAAGGGATCAATGGCTATATGCAGCTTCTCAGCTCTAACATAACCTGTTTTGCTGGGAAGCAGAAATAATAGAGGATAGCAGTTACCTCCATTGTTTTCAGATGGGCTTCCCACAGCAGCCTCTGACTGGCTATTATGGGAAATAAGTTACCAGACTTAGATATACTCACCTTGACCAGATCCTGCTGTAGGATTCCTCTTCTGTTCATGTTGGGTTTTTAGCTTTGTGAGTTTGCAGCTTTCCCTTTATCCTGCCCTTCAGGTGATTAGAGACTATACCACTCCTGCCAATGAGGAACTTTCACGGGACCTGGTGAACAAGCTGAAACCCTACATCAGGTGATTGGGAAGAAGGGATTACCCCCTTTGGAGATCTGGAGATGGGAAGGTGCCCCTGATGCTGAGCTGAGTGTGCCTTTCTTCTGCAGCTTCCTGACTCAGTGCAGGCCCCTCTCTGCCAGCATGGGCAATGCCATCAAGTTTCTTAAGAAGGAGATCTCATCGCTGCCAGGGACCATGCGAGAAGAGAAGGTGGGTCGAGATTCCTGAATGTAGCATTCAGTCCATGGTGTGCAGAGGAATGGCTTCTCTCTGCCACTTTGCTCCCTTTCCTGGGGATGTCGTTGTAAGGAGGTTGGCATAGATCGTTAGCCCTTCATCTTTGGGAATATTTTGGTCTTTTTGGTTGCTGCCCAAAAGTTTATCTATCAGGGTTATCTTTTCCTTTTTTCAAAGACACTTTGCCAGGCTCAGCAGTACAGGGTGGGAAACCAATGTTTTTTTCTTGTTCTCCAAGGGATAAGTGGGAGTTCTGGCTTAGATATTGTGGGAGGAATCAATTTATTTTTATTGACAATTTCAAAATAATAAAATAACAAAATATGCCCATATCAAACAGTTATAGGAAGTTTATCCATTATATCAACTACAACAAAAGAATCCAGCAGAGCATGGCGTACAGGGAGGGGACTAACCACACCTGACCAACTCTCTCTTGGGAACAGGCCAAGCAGGTCCTTAAAGAGACAATTGACAAATATGAGCGGGAGAAGATCTTCCTGGCAGCCGAAGCCATTTCCAAATTTGCCTTTGAGAAGATCAATGACGGCGATGTCATCCTTGTCTATGGATGGTATGGAGTTGTGCTCAGGGTGGGGAGAAGAAAGACAACGTTCTTGTATCTGAATGACACTCCTCAGAGTCTGAGCTGCTGCCCTGGATGTGAAACAGTGGGTGGGAGTGAAAACAGAAAGGGCTCTAGCAGGCTCACAAAATACTGCTCTTGTGCAAAAGTGGGCGATTGTAGCCAGGGCAGCAATTCCAGAAAGTAATAGGTTGCCTCCCTGGGAGCTTGTCTGGAATTCAGGATCATGCCCAGAAGATGGCGTGCTGTGCTTGCAGCAGTAAGCACAGTTTAGAACACTTTATCTGTGGAGAATAAGACGACTTTGATGGAGATATGCAGGAACTGTTACCTGGGCAAAAGGGGTTGAAGCATTTTTGAAGTCCAGAATGAGATAACATTCAGAAGTGGCTCAGGTAGACACCTGCCTAATTCACTGAACTATAGGAGGGGAGGAGGTATAGCACAATCAGACTTGTAAGATTCTGTTGTTATAGCCAGTCTGAACAAAAGTAGTTTTAGCCTCCCTGTGGAGTTAATTCCCTGCTCTGGTCTACTTATATTTGAGTTAAAAGAAGGGAGGAAGAGGCAGAGATTTCCAGCTCTGAGAGCAAAGGCATCCTGGGTTTGCAAAAGCTGGCCAGGTGAAATGTTGTTTGGGTTAGGTTCCTCATCTGTTACCTCTGCTCATGTTGGCTCGGTAGCTCTTCCCTGGTGAGCCGCACACTCCGCGAGGCCCACGCCAATCGCCGTGCCTTCCGGGTGGTGGTAGTAGACAGTCGGCCACGGCTGGAGGGCCGGGAGACGCTGTGCCGCCTGGTGAAACAGGGAGTCCGCTGCAGCTACGTGCTCATCAATGCCATCTCCTATGTGTTGCCTGAGGTGGGAGCTTTGAAATGTGATGTGGGGAGGGGAGTGTCATTAGGGCAACTGAAAGGTGAATTCTATGGGATTGAGGCAGAATCTGAAGGGAAATGGTATCAGACCAGCAGTTTCCTAATTAATATTTATTAAATTTATACGCTGCTTGATTCCTCATCCTTTCTTCCAGCTTCCGCATTACTGACACGTGTCTTAACTAAGCTGGGGATTCTCTGGGAGTTCTTGATTATTGGGCTTGAAAGGGGACAGCGTCAAGACCTAGGGGGATTTTTTAGCGAATGGAGGCTACAGATGGTTATAAAATAATTGAGCAGCTTCTTTGTCTCCTGGCAGGTTTCTAAAGTGTTGTTGGGAGCTCATGCACTGTTAGCCAATGGGTCTGTGATGTCACGTATGGGCACCTCGCAAATTGCACTGCTTTCCAAGGCTTATAATGTGCCTGTTCTAGTCTGCTGTGAGACCTACAAGTTCTGCGATCGGGTTCAGACCGATTCCTTTGTCTCCAACGAGCTTGGTATGTCGTGTGGCAAGCCTCAGCAATCTTTCTGGGTGGCAGACTTCATTACACAATGTTACAAGTGCCAAATCCAGTGGTACCTCGGGTCACGAACTTAATTCGTTCCACGACCCAAATTGGTCGCGTCCCGAATCAAATTTTCCCATAAGGTTCAATGTAAATACGGTTAATCTGTTCTGACCCCTCCGAATTTGGTCGCCAACCGATTTTGGTTGCGAACCGAATCAAATTTTCCCATAAGGTTCAATGTAAATACGGTTAATCCGTTCTGAACCATATGTATTTTTTTTTTAAACCACAAAAATATGAAAAAAGGACAGTACTCTTCATACTGTACTGTACTGTCCTTTTAAATTTTCCCATAAGGTTCAATGTAAATACGGTTAATCCGTTCTGAACCATATGTATTTTTTTTTTAAACCACAAAAATATGAAAAAAGGACAGTACAGTACAGTATGAAGAGAGAGAACGCTAACCTTGCTTGAGGCGTGGAGGACAAGAAGGCGGGTGGGGAGGCGGTTATTGCTTGGAGGGAGAGTCCCCCCCCACAGGAAGCCATGACCACGTGTCATGGCAGGGAAAATGGCCGCGATCCTGTTTGTCACCTGATGTGGAGTTCGCGGACGGAAGCAAAATTTTGCGAACGGTGCTGTTTGTGACCCGAATTGGTCGTGAACAGAAGCGTTCGTGACCCAAGGTACTACTGTATAAAAATTAGCCATTTTTAATTTTAAAATACTGAGTTCTGTGGAGAAGTCAGATTTGGCTATCTCATGGAATGTTAGACGTTTTTTGAATAGATTCTTGGAGGTTAGTAGTTACTGTTTTGTCAGTCCCAATGTGTGGACTAGTGAGAGAACAAAAAAATTGTCCTGTAATGGGAAAAGCTTGCATAGAAAAGTCAGGCTAGCATTTTCTGTTTTGTTTCATGTCACTTTTATTCTTCAAGACTACTGAAAATTGGAGCACATGTTTATCTCAGATCAACTTTATGGGATAGATTAGCTTAGAGGAGTGACTAACCCAAGATTAGTAGTTGGGCTTTGAAATATGTAGAGAAAATTTGAGAGAGATTGCAGTGCTGAAGTGCAGTAAGGTAAATGTTGCATCCATTGCTTCTCAGTGTAAGAAGTTACAAATCCACAAACACTGTAAGCTAAGTAAGCAGCAGAATGTGCAGGAGGAAGGGGCAGGAAACAGTGGCCTCAAGAATCTTGGCCCATGGAGAAGAATCTTGGCCCGTACTGCTTTGAGAAAGAACTAGTGCTCTTCTAACTGACCCCTGTACCTGTGTCTGCAGATGATCCAGATGACCTAATTGGGTCAAAAGGAGAGAGGAGTCCACTATCCAACTGGCAGGAAAGCAAGTCATTGCGCCTTCTCAATCTAGTCTATGATGTGACCCCTCTAGAGTTGGTGGATTTGGTTATTACAGAGTTGGGGATGATCCCTTGCACCTCTGTTCCTGTTGTTCTGCGTGTCAAGAATGTAGAGCAGTAATGTTGGAAGAGTGAATAAACCTGCATGTCCCTGCTCCGTGCCTCTGTTTAGATATGTCATCATGTGAACACCTGAGTGAAACAGAACTCCCAGCCCTGGGAGAATCAACTGATTCCTTGTCCAGGACTTAAGTAATTTATGTTCAGCTGTTCTCTAGCTTCTTTGGGACATATTTGTTATCTATTCTGTTGCTATTGGAAATGGAGTCTTATTTATTATTGAATTTATCCCTGCCTTTCTGTTTATTCCAACACTCATTTAGAGCTAGGCCTCCACTCCAAATTCATGATGGTAGTAATCATGAGTGTCTTTGAACACGTGTGTATCTCCCTTTATCCTTGACTACATTCTATGGTCAAGTAGACCTGAGACGCAGAACCTTTTTTTCTAGCAACAAACTAGGGGATTGTGAAATGCCTCATTTTCTATACATTTTTTGCCACCCTGATCTGTCCAAAATCCCCTTGCACTGATATGTGTTTTATTGCATGAGGCAGTTCTGAATTAGCTCAGTTGATGTCAGTTCCTACATGGCGCTAAACCAAAATGTGACTTGTTTGGTTTGGGCTTAGAACAATACATGAACATAACCACTGAGATTTGCTAATCATAATTTTATACTTTAACATCTATAAGCCAAGCCAATTATTACTTAATTAGCAAACCAAGTTTAAAATTAATAATGGCTTAATGTAATGTGCAAACCAAGCCAATGTCAGGACAGTTGGAAAACATAGCTACAGTAACCTGCCTGCATAATATGCCTCCAACTCTCTGTGCACCCTTCCCCCCTTAGGTAAGCTGCTAGTCCCTGTCAGCCATAGGATGTCACTCCTAGCTGGACTCAGTGCCTCATTCTGATGACTCTAGAGGTACCTGTACTGAAGTTAATCAATATCACATTTAAAAGATTTCTTTTGGCTCCAGATGGTTGGGGATTACAGTTTCCAGAATCCCCAAAGCATTGCTGTTGGTATCTGAAGAGTAAAAGCAGCTTTAGAGCAAGTTATTTAAGGAGTCTGATTATCAACACTGCTCTCACTAATGTCGGAAAAAATGACGCCGGGGTATCCTACTGCTTCAGGTGGAGCGACAGTTGTGCAGAAAGGGTTCAGTTACTCATGACAATGCCTAACATTGATGAATAAAGGAGTCCAGTAAAAGGCCTAACATGGCTTAGCACTCTGGCCCCTAAATGTTTGTTTATTACACAACTTATACACATTACATTCAATAGTTTCTATATATACCATTAAAAACCAAAAACTGCAAACAACAGAATAAAAATTTAAAAGCTGAAGTTAACTGTAAAAATTACACTTAGTAAAAGAGCACATCCTTGATGTTTTTCAAAAGGCTAAGTGTATTGGAGGAGAGGGACAACATTTGGGGCTTGGGGGTCAAACTATTTCAAAGAGAGGAGTCACAGAAAAGGTCGCTTCCTGGTTTCCACCCTTTTAGTGTCTTCCAAGGGAAGGTTCAGGAGCAACCCTTCCTCATCTGATCTCATAGCTTACACTAAACTCTCACAGACACTCCAGAAGGATACTAAGATTAATGCTGTTGAGAATTCTACAGTAATGGGAGTGGGGGGGAGTGGGACACACTCCATTTAGATCAGTGTTTTTCAAACTTGGCAACTTTAAGATGTGCGGACTTCAACTCCCAGAATTCTGGCTGGGGAATTCTGGGAGATGAAATCCACACACCGGGAGGGTTCCAGATATTTTGGCCCCTAGGCAAAGTCATATTCTGATGCCTCCTACGGTTTGGCTCATCTTCCAATTTTGTTAGGAATTTCAAAAAGGCACCCTCTTGTTTATTTTTTTCTTCAAGTTTTTGAGCTTTACACTTACGATTTTGAGCCCTAGGCAATTTTTTTTCTTTTCTCGGACATTTCCATCCTATTTAGACAGTAATTTTAATTACATCAGCACCCACTGTCATATGGCAACAATTCTGTATAATTAACGGCTCGAGTGGCTGTTACTGCTTTTTGCTTTTTTATTGTGTTTTCAGAAGTTTTTTTAATTTTGGTGTCCCTAAAATTTGGCATCCCTAGGCTTTTGCCTACTTGGCCTTAGCCTAGAGCCAGCCCTGTCCACATATCTTAAAGTTGCCAAGTTTGAAAAACACTGATTTAGATCCTGGCAAAGGTAATCTAAATGCCATTTTTGTCCCATAGAAGGCTCAAGATAATTTGCTTCATCCAGGTTTTCAACCGATGTCCCACAACCTGTTCCAAAATCTTTCCTAAGTGGAAGGTTAAAGGCAGGCATTTTTCTTTACAGCTGGATTAAGGGATCAGCTTCTTCAGGAAGAGCTCCCACCACTGCCACTTCCTTCAAGGCAGAAAAGACAGCCCTCCACCCTCCCAGCCCCAAGTGAAGCATTAACCACCGCTTGAATCTTGCCATGAGATAAAGATACAGTGTCTGCTACTTGGGAGAAAGACCACGATGATGGGGCCATAAAAAATTGAGACAAAATATTAAAGTGCACAGACATTCATTCACTAACAACAGAAGTTCATATTGACAATTGGTTTTCCCAGTCCTAATGTCTGACTGGATCATCGGTTGAACAAAGAAAAATTGATGCCTTTGAACGAGGTACCGGAGACCGTCAGTTGAGAATACCTTGGACCACAGAAAAAAACCCAAATCATTTAAAACTAGATGAAGCTGAAATGTTCAGTGCAAGCACTAATAAGGAAGCTGAACTTAGACATTTTGGACAGATAAGAAGAAGCAAGAGTCGATGAACATGCTTGGAAAAACCGAAGCCAACAGAAAAAAGAGGCCGGGAACAAACAAGATGTCTAAAATACCATCAGTGATGACACAAACCGAAGCTTGCAAAAACTCGAAGCAGCATCTGCCGACAGACAATCCTGGGGAAATGACATCTATCGCTCATAGGATACGGCAACGTCCCACGAGTAACTACTGTAAACTCTTCTGGGCCCTAGCGCCCTCAAATACTCAGACAGCGGCGTTTCCCAGAGTACATCGCGGCGCACAATTTGCATGTTGCAGCCCTTTTGTCTCGAACTTCCCTTGATTCTAGAGTTCAGACGGGGCGGAGACTGAACTTTCTCGTCACCTGCTGAGGGAGACCAGGTACCGGAAGTGACGCCAGAGCTTCGGGTCATCGCTATTAGCCTTGTAGGACCGCCATCTTTGCTGCTTCGGCCAGACACCGGTTTCCATGCGGGAGGAACAAGGTGAGGCTGAGCCCGCCTGTATCTGGCAGGCCACCTTTGAGGACCCCTTCGCTTGTCACTGCGGGGAGGGGTGACTGTCTGTGATGCGGTCCCTGTTGAGTTGTAGCGGCCGCTCCCACCGCTGCAACGGCGTGAAGCAAGGGAACAAAGACAGTCCAAAAGACACTCTTCCCCGAGGCCCCCACCCCGGTCCCCGCCTCTGGTGCGAAATCTCCATTTCCGCCTCTGGAGGAAAAAAAAAATCCTCCGTGCCACCGCCTTGCAGAAACCCGAGCGCCTTTGGGTAGAGAAACAATCTGGGTGGAGTTTCGGCTGTGCAGTGGATGCTTCTCCGGCTTTTAGTGATTTAAATTAGTGACTTTTCTCTAACGAACGGACTACGTGATTCCCCTCCCCCCGCTTTATTTACTTTAAAACCTTGTAGATTATCATGGTTGAGTGTTTTATAAAATATAATCATAAATCACTGCAAAAGCCAGAACCACGTGAATTAGCAACTTGCCAGCAATTTTGAAAACTGGCAGAATTGTAGAACGTTTCAGAGGTTTAGAATACTGTTTAGATATAGCTTGTAATAAATAGATTTTCAAGGCCAAATTAAAAGGAACCAATGAAGATACTAAAAGTTCTTTTCCTTGCGGTAGTTCCATGCCTCTTGCTGAAAAAAGCAGCAACCCCTTTTAATAGCAATAACCCTGGAATCTTTAGCAGCATTCAGCAATTGTACAGCCTCAAACTGTTAATAAAAAACAGTGCAAGTCATTTATTTATTACATTTCTATCTTACCAACATCAAATATGACTCTTGGTTGTTTGTAAGATATGTAGAAAATAACTAAAACATCCACAATAAGATATTTAAGAATGTAGAAAATCAATAAATATACACTGTCATGTTGAACTACATATTGGCATCAGTGGCTAATTCTAAATTATAAATGCTTTACAAAAGAGCTCAGCTTTTAATAATTTCCTAAATGCAGCCAAGGAGGGGGCAAATCTGTTCCATTGGAAGGCTGTTCTAAAGAGCTAATATTGTTATGGAAAAGCAGCTCCTTCCAGTGTCGCTCCTCTTTGCTTCCCTGAAGTGGAAACTTTAGCTGCTTCTTTCAGGATGGCCTATCAGTCAGGTCAATTCTGGATGGAGTATGCAGTCCATAACTGAATTACATATTTTTACATATTTTACATATTACATACAAGTTACATATTTTAAATAGTATATTTTAGTTTAATTATTACTGGATTATATTGACAAGTATGCAAACACTCTGGTAAAATAATATTATTAGTAATATTACACTTACTTCAGCTCTTTATACCCATGTTATTCAAGTGGCTAACAATTTATAACTAAATATTGGTTGAAACTTCTAAAGTTATTGGCAGTACTAATTGAAAAACTGGCTGAAAAGTCAAAAGTTCCACTGTCAAACTACTTTTATAGTTAGGAACTCTCTCCCCACCCCCAACATTCAACCAGAATCTGCCTTCTTATAACTTATTCTATTATTCTATGTCCTACTTTCTGGGATGATAGAAAAGAAATCTTTACTACCTTCTGTGTACCACATCTGTAGAAAAGTGCTGTTATGTTCCCTCTGTTTTTTCATGGTTAAAATATCTAATTCCTCAAGCTTTCTTCATAGTATTTCGTTTCCTTTTTGCCATTTTCTGAACCTGTTTGAGTTTGTCTGAATGTTTTTAGAGTATAGTACCCCCAAGTAAATAAAATATTCAAATTGTGGTTCTGTTAATGGAGAGTTTTGTGGGACTGTTACATCCTGGATTTGGGAACTCTACTTCTGTTGATGCAATCGAATTTATGTTTATTTTTGCCTCCATGCTATACTACTGATTCATTGGCAGTTTTTGATAATCTACAATTAAAAGTACTTTTCACAAATCCACATGTTCAACCCCCTGTTCTACACTTGGTTTTGTTTCTTAGTGAAGAACATTGCATTTGTTTGTATTAATTTTATTCTGTTATTTTCAGTCCATTTCTCTAAACTATCAGATGCTTTTATTATTTTTTTTCTTGTCGTCTGTGGTATTAGTTAACTATACCTATTAAGGCTATACAGCAATCTGGATTTGAAAGGGAAAAAAATGATTTAGATTGTGCAGACATGATCCCAAGTAACAATGATTGGATTTAAAGTGTTGCTTATTCTTAAATGCATACAATAAGCCTTTTTGGTGATGGCTTCATCATTGTCCACCTCCTTACAGTAAAAAATGTAATTGACACATTCTCTGTGTGTTTTAAAACAAATAATTGGCCATTTTCATCTACTTTCATTTTCATTCTACTTGATTAAACTGAACTTCACTCATTTAAATCAATGGTTTAAAACTGTTGTGTTTTCATTATATAACTGGTTTTAAATAAAATGGTTCTGTGATTATTGACTTCAGATTTTAAAAAAATATATAATTATCTAAATAATTATATAGCTATAATATATGTAGTGCTATTGCTATGCTATGCTGGTTTTAGTGAGGTCAGTAATCCTGAGCCTAATCATATTTTCTGAAACCCTACACACCGAGACATTGTATGACACATACAAATCTATATAAACTCATCACCATAATATTTGTGGTACTTTCAAACAGTAAAACACTGTTTATTTGTTATTGGAACCACAACTTCCCTATGCTGTGTAGCTGTCTCACTTTCTGTTCACAGGGTTTGGAAGCCAGGTTAGTTCCATTTCTTTTGTCCTTGCGCCAACTGCCAAAATATATATTTATATAGGCTTTTTCTACCTGAACTGAATTGTTGTCAACTTGTACATTATTTTGCCACATGCTGTTCTTCTAATTGAGAGGTTTGGGTTACTGAGTTTCAGATGAGATTGTATTTTATTTTTAGTTATTTTTGATACTGGTTTTGATGGCACTGCAATTTTTTTGTGTTCACATGAGTAACAAGGATTTCCCTCATTTGTTTTTTGCTTTCCTCATCTCACTTTTGCAGGCAGAGCCATGTGCAAGATGAAAAGGGTGGCACCTGCCTGAGGAGCTGTGGTGCCTTCATGGAACCTTGCCTCACACCAAGTTGTGCCATGGGAATAGTGAGGGAAACCACAGACCAAGAGGATGGAAGTATCAGTCAGACTCTGTGCACAGCATCTTGCTTGAGAAAACCTCACTGGGATGGGGAGAACGATACATTAGTGGAAGGGCTGGCTTCAGCAGATAGAGATTTAAGCAAGGCAGAACCAGCAGTTGCCCCTGCCGTGGAAACTTGTCTTCAGGAAGAATGGCCAGATCAGCAGAGCTCTTGCTGCAAGAAAAGACATCTGGAAGAAGTGGAAGGAGAGCCGCTTCCTAAGCAGCTGAGAGGACAAGGAGAGATGGGTCACATGGAAGCTCTTGGTATGTTCTCAGATGCCTTTTTAGCTGCATTGTCTTGGCCAGTGTAATATGACTTTATTTTAGAGAAATGCAAAGTAAAACAACTCATTTTTTTTCCTTTCTGTTTTCTTCCTGCATTAGTAAAAAAACCTCTTCTTGGTACTGGGAACCTCATTAGATCTGAGAGTAAGAGTTGAAGGGGAAGGGGGAAGCCATAGCACCAGCCAATGACATTGAGGACATTAGAGCCTTGATTTCCATTTCATTGAATGGAAATGAGTATGCCACATTTCATTCTTCTACGGTTCCTCAGGGCTAGAGGAAAACTAGAGAGAATTCTGCATAGAATCAAGAAGGCTGTTATGATTGGATATCAACAGTTTCTTCATGAGGGTTTTGCCACTCTTGTAAGAATTACAGTCTAACTATAATATAGTAAGCTGCCTAGAATCACTTAAACAGTGAGATGGGCAGCATATAAATTTGATTAATAAAATAAACTGAAAGAAAGGGTCAGTAGAACTGAGCTCACCTGGTTCTTAAAGTGATTTGGAAACTGGCTGCAGGGGCAAAAATCTGAAGTATGGAATATAGCCAAGGAGCATGTTGGAGTTTAGAATGATCTGGCAGCAGTTGCAGGACTCAGCAGTGAGTGACATCCTAAAAGCACAGTGGGTCTTCTTGCATAAGCAACAGAGAATGATAGCAGTTGAGTTCTGTTTCAAGCTGGCCCATTGTATCTTTAGCACAGCGGGACATCTAAGACAATACTTTTTTCTTTCCATCCCAAGCAGATGAACAATGTCCTTCCCCAGCTCCAGTCTCTGCTCTTTCAAAAGAGGTTCCATCAACTATCCCATCCTTAAAGAAGCATTCCCGTGGGCGGAAACCCCGAAAGAAAGTCTCTGTCTGCAAAGGTTCCATTCCCAAAGATCACAGGGGACCAAGTGAAGGCCCTGGGCCGTCTGAGAATGGCTCCTCTCTTCCTGTTAAAGTGCCAAAGAAGCGAGGGCGCAAGTCCAAGGAAGAGCTGCTTTTATTGAAGCTATCCCAAGGACTGGAGAGTCAGTCACCTGAGTCCCTTTGCCAGCAGAAGTCTCTATCCAGTAACGAGAACCTTGATTCCCTTGAGACCGCACCTGGTGGACGCCCAAAGCGCCGTGCAGCTAAAGCGTAAGTGAGAGAAGGCACCTATCACTGAATTCTGCTGGGTAAAGCATGTGTGTTATACAGTTACTACAGGTTGGAAATAACTAGCTTGCTTTTCTTTTAAAAAACCTGCTAAAATGCATCATTAGTTAGTGGTGTATTAAGTGTAATAAATAAATATTAATTGGATTGAATCAAGTGTATAAAGCAAGGAGGGGACAACCAGTTAGTATTGTGGACCCCACCACCTCTGTATGATGGTTGTTGCTCAAATTCAACAATAGAACTGTCAACTGTCAATGATGAAGTTTTCCTCCTTTGGGGACTTGTAAGAAGTGCAGAATAGGTGAATTTGTTGTGCTTAAAAACAAAACAGAACCTCTGATAAGCCAAGGGGCTTGATATCTATGATTCTGACCTGCTCAGCACTGTTCTTTTGGAGATCTGGAAATTGAGATTGTTCCTGTTACTGTCCTTAAGGCATTGGGATAGAGCTGATTCTTGACCAGAGCTCAGTTCATGAACTTATGTTCTCCTCCCTTCCTCTTTCCAAGAGCCCTTCTATATCTACAGGAACTCGCTGAAGAATTGACATCTGCATACCAGGCTTCTCCTTGCAATGATACCTCAGAGGATACCCCTAGATCTGAGGAGCCTGGTAGGAAACGGCGAGGCCGAAAGCAGCAAGAGCAGAAGTTCGAAAATGAGGAGGATGTGGACTTTGTCCCTTCAGAAGAAAGTCTTCTATGTGAGGAGGAAGAAGAGCAGAGTGACCCAGTGATGAATGAGGCCTTGAAGTCTAAGAAGGAGTCCAGCTCACGCAGAGCAGCGGTAACCTAATCCTGAGGTGGCTTTGCTGTGTTTCTGGGGGGGATGAATACCTCACCTGGTGGTACCATTGGAGGGAACACCACTTGAAGAACATGCCCTGGCCTTTTGGAATCAGTTGGCTGAGATTCTTGTTCCCAGAATTTGGGAGGGTGGGCTTTTTTGGCCTCTGTTCTTGACCTCCTTTTTTCCCATAGAGGTCCAAACCTCAGCGCCGAGAATTCGCTTCCAATGGCTTGCATAATTCCATTATGGACCCTATATGGAAGTCTTTCTCCGTCACTCACCGCTTGTGAGTATTAGGGTTCCCCCGGTGATTGGGAGAATTGAGGAGCAGGAATGTGGTGGGAGGGGGGTAAGGTAGGTTTCTGCTGCATTGTTTTGCTTCCTGAAAGGTCAGTACTTCCACCATTTCTGGATGATTGAAGTACATGAGACTGTTTTTGAGTACTTACTGCCACTGTCTTAAAGAGTGGGCTCTCCAGCAATCATCAGATCTTGTGGGTTTTAAGTGTAAATGAGATTGTGGCCTGGGCAGTGATAATGAAGCCTCTGGATATTCAAGCCTGGTTGGCCCTTTATGGCTTGAAGCAGAACCACCTTAGAGTTTTGTTCATGAAAAATAGTTTGCCTAATTGAATGAAGAGATGCTACTTCTTTGAGAAAATAGAACAGTTGAGCCAGGTTTGACCGGGCAGGGTGGTGGTGGCTTTGAAATCTACCACCAGGTAGTCTCTTTGAAGTTGAAGAATCTGGCCTATGATAAAAATTGAACAAAGGGACTAAAGTGTATCCTTTATCCTGGATTTAAATGAATATGAAGATAATGAAGGATCCTGAAAACAGATCCAAGAAAAAATCAAGCTAATTTCTTTTAGTCTTGACAATAATGTTTTAAAAATCTCAGACAGGAAAATATAACAATTCACCACCTGCTCCATAAGAATCATGACTTTTATAACAAAGTGTGTGTGCATGAGAGAGACAAAATACTGTATCTTGGCTTTCTTTAGGAAAGCTTGAAGTGGCTGGGAGGGACTTTGTTCTGTTAGATCTGCTGTTCCTTCAGGGAAGGATGCAGCTTCTTAGCACTTTCCTAGATAATGTTGGGCAAAGATTAGAAAATTCCAAATGAATGTTGCAGAGGTGGATTCAGATAAAGTTAGTTATGGCAAAATAAGCTTGGAAAGGAAAAACTTCTAGGAGGTGATTTGATTGCCAAGTCCTTTCTTCACTGAAGCCTAGCAAAAAAACAAAGTTCCTTCCCCTTTTAATCCAAGATTTATATCTTGTTTGGCTAATTTGAGAAATTCAGAAGGTCTGAGCACTGAAGTTGTTTGTTGCAATATCCTCCAAGGTAATTCTATTTTTGAACATTCAGATTGATGCAAGTTCAAAAGACTCAGTATGCCCAATATGGATTGAGTGTGTCTTCTCATTCTGCTGTGCATCAGACCACAGGCAACTTGGTTGTTGCACTGTTCTATTGTTACACTGTTTCCTGTTACATCAATTGCATCTGTATGACTGCATTTGTACCTCCTTTTCCCATAGGCGTGGACAGCACCATTCTCACTGGGAGTTTCCAGAGTGGATTCCTTCTGCCCAGAAGTGGGTCTTTCTCTCAGAGAGGTGAGTGGCCCAGTAGCAAAAAAATAAAGTGGGACATAGCTAGCACCAGATAGATAAATAAAGGACACATGTTAGTGTAGATGTTATACAGTGGGGCAAAGTATTTAGTCAGCCACCAATTGTGCAAGTTCTCCCACTTGAAAAGATGAGAGAGGCCTGTAATTTTCATCATAAGTAATCCAGAAAATCACATTGTCTGATTTTTAAAGAATTTATTTGCAAATCATGGTGGAAAATAAGTATTTGGTCAATATCAAAAGATCCAGAAAATCACATTGTCTGATTTTTAAAGAATTTATTTGCAAATCATGGTGGAAAATAAGTATTTGGTCAATATCAAAAGATCCAGAAAATCACATTGTCTGATTTTTAAAGAATTTATTTGCAAATCATGGTGGAAAATAAGTATTTGGTCAATATCAAAAGATCCAGAAAATCACATTGTCTGATTTTTAAAGAATTTATTTGCAAATCATGGTGGAAAATAAGTATTTGGTCAATATCAAAAGATCCAGAAAATCACATTGTCTGATTTTTAAAGAATTTATTTGCAAATCATGGTGGAAAATAAGTATTTGGTCAATATCAAAAGATCCAGAAAATCACATTGTCTGATTTTTAAAGAATTTATTTGCAAATCATGGTGGAAAATAAGTATTTGGTCAATATCAAAAGATCCAGAAAATCACATTGTCTGATTTTTAAAGAATTTATTTGCAAATCATGGTGGAAAATAAGTATTTGGTCAATATCAAAAGATCCAGAAAATCACATTGTCTGATTTTTAAAGAATTTATTTGCAAATCATGGTGGAAAATAAGTATTTGGTCAATATCAAAAGATCCAGAAAATCACATTGTCTGATTTTTAAAGAATTTATTTGCAAATCATGGTGGAAAATAAGTATTTGGTCAATATCAAAAGATCCAGAAAATCACATTGTCTGATTTTTAAAGAATTTATTTGCAAATCATGGTGGAAAATAAGTATTTGGTCAATATCAAAAGGGTATACCTATGATAAAAATTACAAGCCTCTCTCATCTTTTTATGTGGGAGAACTTGCACAATTGGTGGCTGACTAAATACTTTTTTGCCCCACTGTATGTGCCTATAAAAAAATAAAGTCTCTTTTAAGTTGACTCAACTCCTAGTGACTTCATTCGTATGTCCATTTAGTTTTTTTGGGTGTAATGCAGAAATAGTTCGCCACTGTCTTCTGGAATATTTGTTTTGATTTTTCATTCTGATCTATAGTCCTGGTAATTCCAGGTGGTCTCCCATCAAAGTACTAATTCATTCTGACCTGGGTTAGCTTTTAAGAGAAAGGGCATTCATGGTCATTTTCTCTTCAACATAATACAGCATGGCAAGTTCAAGAATTGCCACCAGAAAGATTCTGCATGTCCCCTGCACAGAAGAAATCTGTGCATCCTAGTCTGTTTTCAGGCATTTAAATGCTGGTGGTTTCCTGTAACAAAGCAAACAGAATGAGCTTCCATTCTGTTCTTTTCCATCTTCCAAAGTGAAGCAGATAAATTCCTTCCTGCTGAGACCAAGTCCCCACTCTTCTCTATCAAGAGGGAAGGTTTACAAGAAAACAGCAGTGTCTTCTACCGGATTAACAGGTGTGTGTGTGTCTAACTAATTTTGTCCAACTATGAGGAAAAGCTTATGGAAGCATTACATTTAAGCTGTCCCTAGTGAAATGACTGAGAGGGTGCAGTTAAGGGGGAGGAACCTTACTTTGAAGCCCTGTGGGATTGATGGGGTACCTGACAGCCTGAGGTTTCCATGCTTGCTTTACATCAATTATCTGTGTTCCATCTGGCTGAAGAATGTTACCATATGGTCTGAGGCACAGCAATGTCTCTTTTTCCTTCCAAAGTCAACTTTTAAATGTTAGGCTCTGCAGGCAAGGTCATCTATTATGCAATTGTTCCTTCCTTTTCCCACCTGATAGGTTTAATGCCTTACAACCCCATGAGGAGCGCTTAGATATGACTTTCTTTGTTGGGGGTCCTGTCTGGGCCTTGGAGTGGTGCCCAACCCCTGAAGGCTCTGTGGCATCCCAGTATGTGGCTATCTATTGCAATCCCAGCATGAATGTTCAGCATACTTTGTCACAGGTCCATACAGGACCAGCTCTGCTTCAGCTTTGGGAGCTTGGACCTATCCAGGAAGACAAAGGGTGAGTTGTAAGCAGATTGCCTGCAGTATGCTTCCTGTCTGTCTGTTGTAACAGCATCCTTCTGTTTCATACCCATGGAGGTCTTGCATCCTGCTTTGTAGCTGAGGGGCAAGCAGTGCAGTAGGAATTGTGGCTGAATTAATGCAGATTCCAACATCACCAGCAATTCAGACTGAGGCACATCATTAGGGAGTTTCCTGATCTAGGGTTTTATGGGCAGAGAACAGCTGTATTGGATATACTGCTTTCCCAGAGGACAGAGCCAGTTGTCTACCTCTAGATCTCTTGTATTTGTTTTATGAGATAGCACAATAAGGAGCAAGACAGATATAATAAGACAGGAGTAGCCAAGGTCCAGAAGAATCTCCTCCCAATTATCCTTTCAGCTTGGTCTTCAAAGGTCCCTGATCTTCTGCACTGGGGAATATGCAACAGAATTATGCATATGCTCTGACCTGGGGGAATGGCATGACACAAAGTCTTCTTTGTATTTTTTTATTTTTTTCTGTATTCTCTTTCCAGGTCTGTTACCAAGCCAGGACTTGCATATGCAATTGCCACTGATCATGGTTGTATTTGGGACATGAAATTTTGTCCCAGTGGAGCTTGGGAGCCCCCTGTCACTCAGCGCAAGGTAAGAACTGGGGGCCAGGAGGTTGTATAGGACGAAGTTTTGATTGGACTTTGGATACTCAGTGTACATACAGGGATAGGATATCCATATGATAGGGTTTGATCCTGAGCCCAGGACTCTTCAACATTTTTATTAATAACTTTGACAAAAAGGGAATGCTTATCAGATTTACAGATGATTCAAAACAGGATAAGATACAATAGAGATTAACAGGTAATGCAACAGAAAACAGAAAGTTCAAAAAGATCTTGATAAATTCAAGAATCAGATTGAAAATAACAGTGAAATTCAACAGAGACAAGGTTCTTCGCTCAAGTACTTGAAGGAATGTCACTCAGAAGAAGGGTATGACATATTCTCTATTGTCCAAGCCTGCAGATACAGATAGTCTTATATTATAGGAAAGTAGCCTCTCGTTGAATGTTATGAAAATCTTCCTAATGGTAGAACATATTACTGAGGGAGTCACTGAACTCCCCTTTGCTGGGTGTATTCAAGCAGAGGCTGAACAGCAGTCTCTCACAGATGCTTTAATGTGGATGCCTGCACTTAAATGACCCTTTTCAGTTCAGGTCTCCTTCTTCCATATCTGCAGCTGCTGGAAATGGCAGCTTCCAAATAGAGCATGAAGCATAATTACTTTTCACTTTTGTTTGTATCCCGTGCAGCTCCCTCACATGAGTCGGCTGGGACTGCTGGCTGTAGCCTTTTCTAATGGCAAGGTGTTGCTGTATAGCCTTCCCCATGTGGAAGATCTGAATGCCTACCGAAGAACACAGGTAACAGGTAGGAATAGCTGTAAGAAATGGGGAAAGGGCAGACATATTGTTGTATATCGTCAGTTCAGGATGTCTCACCCAAATGGGAAGGGAGAGGTACTGTTAGGGAGGCCAGGCGTTCCATCCAAGTTAGATGATGGAAAGAACAGTTATCACTAATTATGATGAGGGAGCTTGTCCTGGCATCAGTTGTGAGAGAGATGATTCTCCATGGCACTTCAAGAAATAGGCATGTGCTACCTGTAAAGTCTTATTTCCATATTACTAACACTCTCTGCCCAAAGAACTAGTTAGAATTTAGTCCAGGGACAAGTTTCTTGGAAATCAAGTGCTAAAACTGTTTAAGAAGAAAAACTATATCCCTTTCCACTTCACACTCTTTCAAGACCCTAAGCCAGTGTTTCCCAAACTTTTTCCTTCATTATCCAAAACTCAGGGGGGAAGGAGGTGCATGCATGCAAGCGAAGGGGGGAAGGAGGATGGCGTGCGTTCAAGCGAGGGAAAGAGGACGCAGTGCGAGCAAAGGGGGGAAGGAGGGTGCAGTGCGTGCAAGCAAAAAAAAGGCCGGGGTGGGTGGGGGAGACTTACCCAAGTGACTTGCAACCTCCCCTGCCAGCTTCCCATTGACTTTGCTTGTAGGAAGCTGGCAGGGAACGTTTCAGATGGTGATCACATGACTGCAGGAAGCCACAACTGGTCATAAGGAGAAGCTGGTTGCCAAGCACCCAAATTTTGTTCACGTGACTGCAGGGGTGCTGCAATAGCCGGAACATCGAGGATTGGTCATAAGTCCCTTCCTTCAGCACTTCCATAACTTCGAACAGTCGCTGAACAAATAGTGGTAACTCAAGGACTACCTGTATTATAAAAACAATATCATTGAATGATCTTTATGTCATTTCAACAAATTACCATTGATAATTTCATCAGTTTTCGTCTTAATGGTATTTTGGTAGATTTTGAATATATTTTAGTACACATAGCAATCTTTAAGTCAATTTAAATGTCCCTGTTGTGATTGGGTAATGGGTTCATGTGTCATTAACCAAAGAATAACCACTTTTACCCAAGTTTGGGAAGCACTGCCCTAAGCCAAAGTTGTGGGTTCCTAGTGATGATCCTGCTACTCTACAAATCAGGCTTCTTTGTTGAAATAATCTTCATAGCTATGTTGAAAGAAGCCATAATTTAGCTTTTGCTGTTCCTGAGGAGATGTATGGTCCTTTTCATCCTCCATGCAGTGCAGGGAGCTATATGGACAACAAAGTCTATTCCACCCGCAGATATATGCATCTTGGGGCCTGGTGCAGGGTGAGCAGGCTGTGTGCTTAGTCAACCATATCAATTAATGGTGCTTGTAATTACATCTGTCTGCAAGAATGATTGATGATTATGATGACTGAGTGTGCAGCACTGACCTTTTCAAAGATGATAGTAGAGAATTAGTCCCAAGAGAGTCCAGTTTGGACTCTGCCCCTTTTCTTCCATTCCTTGGTATCAGATTATGTTGAAAGAAACACATAGTCACTATGTTGCACTAACTTTCCACTTTTCTGTTTGTGCCCGTGATAAGCAAAAAGAACTCTGATGATGAACAACTGACTGACAAACAAATTATTAATTTATTATTTGTTTACCATTCTTTATTTAAAAAAACAAAAAACAAAACTGGTTTCACAGAACTAAAGTAGAGATTCAGAACAGCAGTGATTAAAAAAACGACAGCTATAAAACTCTGCATGTAGAAATCCATCAGTGGCAAAACACATTGAAACAAGCCTAAGCCTTTATTTGAACTGTGGAAGATGCTTATTCTATTGTGAGGGCACCACAGCCACAAAGCTCTTGCTTGGGTACAGCCCCCTCAGATGCTGCCTATCAGCCATACCATGAGCGTGCCCCCCTCTCCCCCGACTCCTCAAAATCTATGGATGACTGTCAGGAACAGCATTTCATCAATATTCTGGCCCCAGGAGCCTTGTAAGCCAGTAGTATTTTGAAGTATGTTTCAGAGCAAATAGACAATAGTTGCAGTTATCAGATATTAGGTGTAATATGATTCTGAGTTTGCATTCCACTCAGTAATGAAACTGTGGCATTCTGCACCATGGGTCTCCAAAACATTTCAGTAGCAGCCCCATGTAGAACATTTTACTGTATTCTTGATGTGGGGCTATAAGACAAATTGTCCTGGCTGAAAAATAGCTTCAGTTAGTGTACCAACTGGGCCTCCGGTAACAAAACTAATATATCTTCTAATTAAAAAACAAAAAGAACCTAAATATACTTAACAAATATCAAAACCATATCAACGAAAAACCAAAAAATAAAAGTCATGCACTTGCAAACTCACTTTCAATCCAAACAGACCCTCCTCCTATGCTAGACAAAACTAATAGGTCTCAACAGCTTTGCTAAAGCCCAGGAGCAATTGATTATTTGGACCCAAACCTTTTGTACGGAAACTGCCTTACAAACTGCCTTAGCTATTCTATTGGATTAGCTTCAATCTGGTTAATTTACCTTGAAGACTTGGTAGGTTTTTATTTCATGAACTATTATATTTTTAACCTTGCAAGTCAGGATTCAGGAGGAATAATGGTTCCACTCTTGTGTGTAATTTTTCTGTAGGTTGTTGTGAATACCACATTAGTATGGAATATTATTCCAATTCCACTTATTCCAATATTTAATTCCCCTGGATTAAAAATAAAGGGACCAAAGGACTTGCTTCAAGCTCCTATTTTTTGCTATAGTGAAATATTTGACATGTTTCAAGCTCTGTTCTGTCTAAACAACCCACCCCAAACTTGCTGACAGAACATTTTGAGTGAGGCCATTTTATTCTAATCTCAAAACAAAACAGGGTGGGTGGGGGTTGTTTCATACACATTCTTACCAGGAGTTGGAAGATTGATAACTGCTAGGTGAGAAGGGAAAACAGTAGAATGAAGTATAGGTATTTCTGCTACTATCTGACTGTGTCCTCTCTTCTAGGTGGGCCTTCCCCCCAGCATGTCATCTGCAAGGTATCTTCTATTATTTCCTTGAAAAAAAAATTTCATTTAAAAGCAGGGTGTAAACTGAGGTCCAGACTGGATCTTGCAGATTCCCAGTTGTCCAGGGAGGCAGTTTCAAAGAGTTCCCAGATCTGAATCCTCTCTCATTAGATACTTGTATAAATACTTTCAGAAAAAGATGTTCTGAAAATAGGAGCCCATTTTCATTCCCCCACCCCACCCAAAAAGTTAATGTAGGATACTGCCATAGCCCAGTTTCTACTCTTTGCTTATCTAGCACAGTTTTCTTTTTCTGACTGATAGTGGTTCTCTAAGGTCTCAGACCAAAGAGGCTTTTTTCCCATTACCTGTTACATTATTTTTGAAAATGAGATGTCTGGGATTAGATATGGAACCTTCTGCATTTAGTCATTTACCATGGCTTGGGGCTCTTCCGTTATCGTCTTTTCCTTATATTAACCACATCTTGTTCTCTACAGGTCCAGTATGTAGCAACTTTGCAGGTAGGCTCCATTCAGGTTGGGAATTCCTCTGAATGTGGACAGTGCTTCAGCTTGGCATGGATGCCAACCAAACCTCACGAACATCTGGCCACTGGTTTCTATGATGGTAAGAGGAAAAAAAGCCCTTGGAATAGAATAAAAGCTGGGGAAGAATTGTATTGGGTCACAAACCTAGCATAATGCCTGCAATCCCTTCTCCTCAGGTACAGTGGCTCTCTGGAACCTGTCCACCAAGTCCTTGTTACAAAGAGTGTGCCAGCGTGATGGCTCCCTCAAGTTCTATCCATTCCATTGCTTCCTGGCCCATGACCATGCTGTGCGCAACATACAGTGGTGCAAAGCAAACAGGTGGGGCCAGTGACTGATGAGAACTAGTCTCTCATGCTGGTTCTTTCTTTCTGACCAACCTGGGCATGCTTTTTTTCCTTCTCCCTTCTTCACAAAATTTATGGAACACAGATGGGGCAGACCACTGTCCCATCCTATGTGCTGATTGTCATTGGCTCTCCAGTCTTGAGCCAAGACATTTCCTTCCCTTACTTGGGATAGTTTGACTGATATTTCTGCCAGGGATGTGGGACTTCTGCATCAGATGTGCTCTGGTTTATTCCTAGCAATTTCATGGTGACTGCAGGGAATGACCGTAAGATCAAATTTTGGGACTTGCGCCGACTGCACGAACCTATCAACAATATCAAGCGTTTCTTAACCACAGAGATTGCCTGGCTACTACCCTACAGTGGGATCACAGTTGCACAAGATAGCTGCTATGCCTCGTGAGTGTGTGTATACCCTGTTATTCTTAAAATAATGGACTAACTGTTGAGTATTCCAATTCCAGTTTGCCTTGCTGTTGTCAAAACTGGTGTGAGTTTCCTTCTGCAAGGTATCAGAAAGATGGATTTATCACAGCGTGGACTTTATTCCTTGAGAAGAAAGGAAGAGTAGATATAATTATCAATCAGACCCTTGAGTCTTTAAAAAGATATGAGCAATTTTTTTAAAAAAATCTGCATTAACCAAATCACCGTGTGTCCCACCTCTCTTACTGTATTAAATCAAATTAAGATTTAATGCAAAGAAATGGCTTGATTAACTCACTACCATTTTCTCTTCGAAATTACTCTTTGATCCATTTGCAGAACAAAGTTAATCTGAAACTATAGTTTCTAGATTGAATTTTAGGCTGGGATATATGTTAACCTTTGTCATACTGATTACCAAGAGATCAGGCCTTTCCTAGATTCTCCAGATGACCTGTTCCTTCAAACCACCTTGGCTTTCTCCAGACTAGGCCCCTGGGTTTTTCTCAAGCTCACTTCTTGCAATTATTCACTGAATATTTGAATAATCACACCCTTTCTTCCACTCCACTTATATTTTGTTTGTAAGAAAGTTAAATACTTCATTTTGGGGCTGATTTACATGGCATTGGGCTTGATTTCTTGGTACCTGCAGATCTTTAGCAGGTTTACTGTAGAATCTGGCATATTCTTGGGAGATACGACAACCTGTTGGCTTTCAGGTTTTCTTCTCTGATATGGTAAATAGTTGCTTTACCTTCACAAAACTGATGTGATTTCAACCAGAAGAGATAGCTTGAGAAGCCCTCCAACTCAGCGTCCACTACTCCATGATGCCACATTCCAGTTTGTAAACCCTTGATATTTTTATATATGCCCAAGTTGATTTGGACTCATAACTTGGGCATATGTAAAATGAGGGCCTTGGGCCGTTTGCTAAGTGATGCAGAACAGATTTACATGTCTCAGTAGCAACTCACCTAGTCCTAAATAATTTGGGGAAACATCTTGAATTTCAAAGTCTGCACTGAGTTGCATGTCATGCATTCATTCATTATGGCAGAAAAAATTCTGAGCAGTGGACAGGTAACCAGGACTCAGTATGAGACTGTGATGGGTTTTCAAGTTTCAGTATCTGAAATTGAGGTTCTAGACATTCAGAACTCACAGCTGACCAAGATTTGTTTCTTCTTATAGGAAAGGTATAAGTAGCAATAGAGGAGGCGGCAAATCCAGGGAACTGGGCAAACACAGTCTTTCCACTTTGCCCATCATATTTCTCATATAGGAATCTTATCTTGCAGATGAAATGTTAGTACATTTCTCTAAAACGTTACATTGTTGTCTATGCAATTGTGACAACCTTGGATGCTGCTCTGTATTGGAAGTGGCACAGTTTGTGCTGCCTTGAACTTGAAAGTATATCCATGTGTCATGCATTTTTCTTACATCTCTATATTGCAGGTATGGACTGGGTGGGATCCACTATTTGGATGCTGGCTATCGTGACTTTCGAGCCTATTTTGTGGTCCCTCGCAAATGCACTGTATGGGTAAGTTATGCATCCCCAAGTACAGAAGGATGGGATGAGGTATGGCCTATCCCAGGGTCATTGAAAGGTAGAAATGAGGCTCATGATTCTGTCCCTTTTGCAGAGTATCTCTGGATCTGATTGGCTGAACACAGTGGCTGCTGGTGATGTCACAGGGGAATTGGTGGCTGCAGTGATGCCTGATCTCTCAGTCAACCCACATAACATCAAGCGGCCATCAGACCGTCGATTTGTAGGTTTTTCTGCCACTGAGTAATGGGAAGACTATGGCAGGCCCACAAGCTTCATCTCCAACCAAACAGGGTAGAAAGCAAGAATGGACCCCTCTGTCAACTCTTTAGATCCAGGTTGGATCTGAGTGGGGGGAAGGGAAGCTGCTGATGCATTAACTGTAGCCAGTTGTGCTAAGAGAGGAATTTCTCCTAGGAGAAGAGCGTTCCTTTATTAATTTTGAAAAGCAGGGAGAAAAAGCAGAACTCTCTTGGTTGGTATTAATAGTGTGGTATTAAGTTTCCTGAGAAAATTGGAGACATAATTTGGGGATGTGAAGAAGTTCGGCTCTGTGCTCCAAACTGCAGATACTAGATTTGTATGGCCTTTGGGACTTGAGAAAACACAAAGATTGTAGAATACATGAATTAGACATGTATGTGAATGAACCAAGAAAATCTTCCCTGGGGTAGAATTTAATGACAGTCTTGAGAACTTGCTAGACTTGGCAGTAAAGCATAGCAAAGAGGTTTGTGGCCTCTGAAAGTTTGGGTCAGATTGATTTCTTAAGCTGCTCAATAGCTAGGCTCACTCTTTGAGTCCCTGCTTCTTAATTGTTCTTGCATCTATCCTGTGTGATAAGCCATGGACTGGAGTGCAGATTACCTTGTCTCTTGAGGCCACTGTCGTCTTGTCCTTAACACCCATTTCTCTTTGTGCCTTCAGTTCATCTGCAAAGCAGTCTTACGGCCAAGTGACCCACTTGACAAGAGCACAACAGCGGCAGCAGCCTGCAAGAAGCCACAGGCAATGGGCAGGACGCACAATGAATCAGTGGCCCAAAATTTCATTCTCTTCCAGGATACTGATCTGGTGAGGGCTTGGAGATACCAGAATTCTGGTTTGAGGAGAATAGCAGTTATAACATGGGAATAGAGGGGCCCATTTCAGCATCGTAAGTATTCCAGGCAGGATCCTTTTTCTGTCAGACCAGAGATGATTATTGATGTGGATCTGGCACTGAATCTGTTGAATACTAACAGAAGCAGCAGAAACTGTGGTTATAATTATTTTACTCTCCTCCCTGCATACTTCAAGATGCAGGGTTCCCATATTTGATTTTCATGTAGCACTGCTTCTTTCAGGCCCACCCATTCTATGGCGTGTTACAGACTGATAAGGCTCCATCCCAAGCCAATAAATCACCAGCTGACAACTGGAATTAAAACGCCTTAATGGGTGAAGCACTTTATTTTTTTTTAATCTACTCAGGCCTGCTTTTAATTCCTATTTTCCCTGCCTTCCCCAGAGGACTTTCAAGAACCTCTTCAGGCAGAAGCCCCAGAAACACACACCAGCAGAAGAAGTAAAAGAGGGAGATGTCCTGGGCCGAATGCAGCTAGAAGCTGTACATAAGGTAAGATAAGAGAAAAAAGACTGTACAACTCTAGAAGGGAAAGAAAACAAATGTTATTTTATTGTCTCTCTTCTTTTGTGTTGAAGTGTGACTCCCCATCCTCTCTTTCCAATTTCTGAAGCTTCATGGATTTGTGAGGAAGGGAGATAGCTTATCTGGATGGAGGTGGATGGGTGACTGGATTAATTACTTTCTCCTGCTTCTTGACCCTTATCTTTCTTCTCTTGGCAGGTGCGCTTCAGCCCAAACCTCGACAGCCATAGTTGGGTAGCATCAGGGGGTCAGTCTGGCCTTGTGCGACTTCACTGTGTTCGGGCATTGGTTCCCCCCCGCAGCCACAAGCTTCTGCTTGAATGTCAGGCCCATTTCAGTTCCATGTTTGATGCAGAGAGACAGATTGACTGCCCCACAACCATCCTATCTGGGGTACACAGTGCTGTCAGCTGAGTACCACCCAGGGCAGCTCTATTTGGGGCATCAGCATACATGGCTGAAGAGTTGAAGGCCTTTTGTGAGAGTCTTGGAGTTATCAGAATATTATACAGAAAACAAGCATGAAATACAGGAGGGCGTTGGCCATATTGAGACAGATAAGCTGAAGAGAATGACAAAGGCGGGGCTCAGCCAGCCTGTGATGGGTGGAATGTACTGGAGCTTCTAGCAGCACCTATTGGAGGTCAGCCCCTGTTGTGGGAGAAGGGGCAGTTGATGAGGAACAGTCCATCCCCTTGTATCTCTGCACTGTGCTTCTACTTCTCTCTTTGGACTCTCTCCTGATGTTCTTGTGCATGGCACAAAGCTCAGAAGGAAGGAGGAATTCAATCTCACTCTGGCTAGTCCAGTGGAATAGTGTCCCATATCTCTTTTCCTGCATAGATCTCCTGGAGATTGAGATTGAAGCCTAGACCTGCTCTGATTAAAGCATCAACAAGACTCTCTTGCCCAGTCACTCATCCTGCTTCTCCCACTCTTGTTGGTGACAATAACCTTGCTCACATTGAGCCATTTTGTTGTCTTAACCATTATTAAAATGTGTTTTGATTTGTAAAGGGGCTATCTTTCTTTGGAAAGGGCTTGATGTGCCCCTTCTTCCCTGTGGTGATAAATGAGGAAATAAGCCTATGGAGTCTTTGGTGCTCTCTGAGCTTCATTGTTAGCTTGCAGATGTTTCTTTACCCAACTAGGTAATATCATCAGTGCGAGTGATAAGCCTATGTGTGTCTTGTCTTCAAAATGAGAGAGATGGTTAAGAATAGAGTGCATTCTAGTTATTTTTATTTATTTATTTATTTATTATTAAATTTGTATGCCGCTCATCTCCCCCAACGGGTGACTTATGTTATGCTCTTGGGAATCTGTTTTAGTTTTAAAGAGTAAATTTCTACCATTTCCTTTATTGTGGAAAACTGCACATCTGTGTAGTATGTCATTTCTAAGGAGATTTCAGGCAAGACTCAACCCATCATCTCCAAATGTCTTCCATGGCAAATGCTACTCACATTCCTCCATCAGCTGTAGACACCAAGGACTTCTTTCAAACAACATAAAGAGTGGGTACCCATAAATTATATGGAGCCTCTCCAACTACAGCTAGTCCTCAACTTATGACAATTGGGACACCAGAACTTCAGTCGCTAAGCAGTGAGTCACGCCCAGTTTTATGACTTTTTGCTGCTGTCATTCAGCGAATCACAGTCATTAAGCGAATCTGGCTTTCCCCCATTGACTTTGCTTGTTGGAAGCCCCCTGGAAAGGTTGCAAATGGCCTGGGATGCTGCAACTGTCATAAATACATGCTGGTTGCCAAGCACCTGAATTTTGATCACGTGACCATGGGGACACTGCGATGGTCATAAGTGTGAGGACCAGTTGTAAGTCACTTTTTCCAGTGCCGTTGCAACTTTGAACAGTCGTTAAACGTTGGTTGTAAGTCAAGGACTACCTGTATACTGCAACTTTTAATGGTTTCCCATAATTTTCACTCTTAGTGGAAAACTGAGTATAAAAAGCTATTTAAGCTCTAAATATTTAATAAACGTGATCTCTCCTGCCCCCCATTCTGGAAAATCTTATCTCTGCCAACTCACATGATATGGATCCTCTCACTTTGCTTTACCATCTTGCCCATTATAGTCTTTGATAACAAGCTGTCACTCTAGCCAGCAGCAGACGCCTATAAAGAGACAAGAGTCTATCAGCATAGATTACACTTACATAAGCTTGTTCTGTTTAAGATCTCTGAGCAAAAGCTATGGTTCTTTTCAGTTTGCTTGACTACCCTTTCCTTCAACCCCCTACTTGCACTCTGCAGCAGTTTATTCTACCTTTTTCCAACTGACATGTTTTCCAGGCCCCACTAAACTGGAATGGTAGGGTTGAGGCAGGTTATTTTATTGGAATCACGGATACTTTCAGCATTTGTTAAAACACCATCTGGACACACTGTACAGTAAAAATATACATACACCACACAGACATATGCAACACAAAATAATGGACACAATTTGTGAATGCAGAAAAGGATTGGGTTGAGCATTTGGTGGTATGGAGAGAAGTTCAGATAGCAGTAGGAGCAACATCCTTCTTCCATTGCTCTCTTAAACTTCGGGGCCCTTTGCCTAGCTCCTGGAACAGTGGCTATGGGGAGCAGCCTTTTTAACTATTTTAACCACCTGTATCAGGCAGTACATTTCTGACACCAATTGCTAGGGAACACAGTCAAGAGGATGCTCTTGCACTCCACTATCTGGTTGGGAATAGAATGCTGACATCTCTTCAGTAATAATGTATCCAGCAATTTTTGGTATTCCTAACTTTGGACTATGGGAGGGAGGATTAGTCTCTTCAGCAAGGTCTTCAAATGTTCAAGAGAAGCTCTAGTGAGAGTTGCCTGGAGAACATGCAATTTCCCTGCACTGCTTCGCAGAAGAAAGAGAAACTGCCATCGGGACCAAAGTGAACATTCTTAGCCAGTTACCTTACTCTGTTGTACTAGTTGGAACCTGGCGGTAGATGACTTCACTGAACTGTCTCTGCCCACGCTGCTGAGGTTTGCCTGCCGGTTGAAAAGCAGATGCAATGACCTTAATGTTCAGTAAGCTGTGATGAACACAGGAGAGGAAGAAGCCTCTGGCTATAACATTTTTTCCATGCCTCCCACAATCTTCCCTGAATCTTGAAAATGGGTAATAACTGTAGCCTTCCAAGCCAGATGGTTCTTCAGGCACCCTCTCATTTTGTATTTATATTCTCACACATGCTTACATCCAAGTCATGAGACTGAAGCCTGCACCTAATTCTTTTTTTCTTGTTCAACCCAATATAACATCAAACAGTTGGAGAATCTACACTTCTGCTCCTCCAAGTAAGGCTCGGGTCACCATAACTTGTAAGTGAATACAGCATCCAGGCTGTCATAGCATGTGGGGTCTATGTGTTTTGTGGTCAGGTTTGGTGGTTATTTAGATAAAAAACCTCCAGGGAACACCAGACTTGGGAACATGAAAAAACATCTTGAAAAGAGGCAAGGGTAGACATTTCTATACTGCTGCCAAGATGACATAGATGTGTCCATGGAGTCACCAGGAGGTGAGTCTGATTCAAATGAGAATTGACTTTTTAAAGCTTGGTTTAGGGAGCAAAACTCTGCAAATGTCAACTTTTCTCCAGGAAAAGGAATAAGGATAATCAGCTGGGGTGGGGGTGGGGGTGGGGGTGGGCAAGATCAATGGGATAGAAGACATTTTTGTGGATAATTTTGTTGCTCTTTTGTTCTGCAAGCAAAATTGGGCTTGCTCTACTTTCTCAGTATTAGTCACAATAGGAAGGAGAGTGGAATAATGTTGCTCCACACATGCTTAGATGATTCACATCCATTATGAAATTTTTGTTGCTGCTGCAACACATGCAAACACAGAGATGGTCACAATAAAAGGCCTGAACAAGCACCAGGTTACCCAAGACTGAAAACACAACAGCTTTTCATCTCAGAGCAAATGGGGAGAGTGTTACAGGTGCTTAAAGGCCTTGCCACCACATCCCCATTTCTGTTGGATTTGCACATTGACACACTTAGCAAATGAACATGGGAAGCAGTTGTGCCCCCACCTGACTGGAATATGATATAAAGAGGCAAGGCTGAGCCTGAAACGGATGCTCAACCACCATCAACTCTTCTATGGAGGCCTCCCTGGCTGGGCAGACAATTACCCCTGGTGCTCTGCCACTTCCTGCATATGCTGGTTGAACATGCATTGAGAGGAGGCTTTTGCTGTGAATGGCAAAACAGACTGGTCCCTGCTTCTGGCCCAGGATATCCAGGCACCTCCTGGGACTGGCAGTTGAAGAGAAAAGAAAGGCAGAGCAGAGTAGCACTGCCCTTAGTCCTGTGGGTCCTGGCACTGGCAGCAGGTGGCCATGTCGTCCAGGTAGCGCTCCACCTGAATGGTGCATGAGAAGAAGCCAAACTTGCTCTGTAGCAGGGCTGTGGCTTCTTGTAGCACAGCCTCCATGTCAGCATTGGATTCTGGAAGCAAAGGTCAAAGTAGGGTCAGTTGTAAACCAATTCAGACTATCTCATACATCCCCTACATCTGGTGGAATATTGTGGAATAGCAGGAGAAAGAAAAGCTACTATTTGTAGGATCCAGGCCAGAGTAGTAGAGATCCTATTTTGTATCCTGAGTTCAATCCTCTGCATCTTCAAGTAAGACTACAAAAGAATTTTCTGAAAGAGCTCAAGGCAGCACAGGCTTGGAATAAGATATCAAGGGTTCCATTCTATAACTGGGCAGGGCCAGGAATCATCAAGGGGTGGTTGAAAGTTTTAAAGGTAAAATGGGGGTCTTATGCATCTGTAACAAGATTTAAGATACCTTCAGAACTTGAAAAAGACTCTCTAAAGTCTTCAGATGTTTGGTTCTCCCAGAGGGCTTTGGAGGCAATAGCAACAACAGCAATAATACCAATACCACCACCACATCCACCCACATTAGGAGAAAAAATCTTGAAGGCTCTGTCCTGTGTGTTCTTGGTTGTGCCATTTTTAAAAACTCTGTGGGTCTCCTCCACTTTCTTCTCCTTTCTCTTCCCAGGGTCCAGAAATGTGCTTCTGCCATAATCTGTGTATTTTTAAGCCTTTATCCTCCTATTCTTGTTAACCAAGTCTGAAAGCCCATGAGAGATTGCAGGTTTCCTACAGGGGCTACAAGCTGCAGTCTCAGAATGGAGAAAGAAAGTACTCACCAACAGCTACATGTACAGTCACAACGTGATGGCTCAGAGTTAGAGCCCAAAGATGCAGATTATGGGCATCCTTCACACCTTTGACAGACAGCAGTGTTTCCTTAACTGCTTGGAACTCCACACCTCGTGGTGCCCCTAAAAGACGGAAAGAAATAGCATATGCTTAACTGCCCACTTCAATCCCCATTTACAAGCCTCCAATCCCTGCCTGAATTGCTCAAAGTGACTGTCTCTTATGTAATCCAAACCTACCATAAGGCAGTCATTTTAGGTAGCAGACCCTGGGAAGAAGCCACAAGATGCAGGAGAAGAGAGCTGTCTTCTATGCAATTTCCCCTGAGCTAAGGAAATGGAAGTGCCTAAGGAAAAGGAACTGCCTAACCAACTATCCAACTCAGTATGGGGACATTATTCCAAGACCAGTCTTGAGAAAACAGTTCCACTTATTTTTCTACTTGAATTTTGAGAGGAGTAGTATACATCATTTTATTTCTTCCTCTTGATCAGAAAATCCCCTTTGCCAGCTCTGCTCCTCTCCAATGGAGGGCATATTCACTTTCTAGATTTATAAGTTGCACTGAGCCTTGACTCAGTTAAAGTTTGTTGAATAAGCCCAAAGTGGGTTGGTTCACACAATACATTGAAACTCAATAAAGGATTAATGAGTGCATGTACAATGCTATCTAACATACTCATGTGGTTGTATATGGCTCTTTAAGCAAAGACTAGAGGTTACCTGAGACTCAGAGCATACAGCATTGTTGAACTGTGGAAACTAGAAATCTTTGTTTCAAATTCTGGTTTCCATGAACCAACAATGGTGGTTGCTATAGTTTGGATAGCACAACAAGCCTCAGGTATGTTACTGCCTCTATTTAAAGAGTTGTGACTCATGCACATTTTAACAGAGATCCCATAAGCATAGCCTGTGTGTTCCAATTGCGGTAATCATAAGTGTGAGCTGGGAAAGCATTTCAGTAGGGTATCATCATCTGTGATGGCCCTCTTATCTAAAAGAGCCTTTCCTGAACAGAGGGATACTGATGCTGTTGCTAGTCTAAAAGCCATTATACAACTCTTGGTTTCTTACTACAGTTTGAAGAGAGACAAGGCTAGTAGTCAGATTCCTGGTGTTTCCTTGAAACCCAAGCCATAAGTGAGCCTCCCTCATCCTGATATGGGCTCCTAGCAGTTTCCAGTAAATTGCATAACACTTTCAGGATCTTTAGCTTAATCATGCCATCTGCAAGGTGGATCGACTCAGTTACAGTAGCAATGGGTACACCACTGGAAGACCTGAAAGATCAGGTTAGGGACAGATCATTATGGATAAAAGCTATCTATGTGGTTGCTAAGAGTTGGCACTGACTCGATGGCACATAATCCAATCAAATGTCATCTAAGTACAAGCATGAGTGGTAAGTACAAGCAGGACTTGAGCCAAATCCAGACAACTGTAAGAGGAGACCTTGAGAAACTTCAAGGTTTGCAGAAGGACAAAGCATTTTTTAAAATTTAAATGGACAAACCAACTATAGAACTGAACAGCAAGGACTGAATATTCTTTGGTACCACAGAATATCAAATGCCAGGTGGAAAATTAAAAACAGGAAGCAGGAATAGACTGCCAGTTTGACTGCTTTGCAGCCTATAATATCTAGCAGCAGATATACTTGCCAAGAACCCTAAAGTGGAGCATTTCAACTGGGCTCTGTGCAACACCCATGCAACATTTTGCTACAGATCCGACTGGAAATAATCCCACACTGTACAGTAACTAACTGTAGGTAGTTGATCATCATCAGGATAATTTCTTAATTGTTATTACTTTGATCAATGCAGACCCTGCTTTGGTCATTTTCTTATTGCTAAAGTCTTAGTGGTCAATTTCTATGCATTTGCCACTTGGTCTTGAGGCAGGAGATCTGTGGGCCAACCTATGACCAGGCCCTCCAGTGGTTTCTCGTTTCTTCACCTTTTGATATACATAACTAAAGAGATTTCTGTCATTATTTTCCTCCTCAAAATACTTAAGGAAATCTCCTTCAGTCTTGCCACCATTCCCCACAGCTTTAAATGCATTTATACCATCCACTTACACTATTAATTATACAAAAAGCATTGTTAATTTTATTGTAGAAAATTATTAACAATTATCTGCAAGAATCATTCTAGAATTTTTTTAAAAAATTCCATCCCCTCCATATTGTAGCCCTTGCAGCTGTGAAATGCAGCTTACCTTCCATGAGTACTCGAAAGACATCACGAAGGATGGTTAAAGTGGAGCCCAACACAAAGACTGAGAAGAGGAAAGTACTCACTGGATCAGCAATCTTATATTGGGGCTGCAAAAAGAAGGAAAGGGAATGGCAGGCAGTACGAAGCATCCTGCTACTTCCCCACCTCCCAATTCTCACACCCTGAGTTGGTTTTGCAAGGGAAAAGGATGAGAAGTCACATCAAACCCCATTATCTCCTATAGCCAAGGTTCTCAGTAGAGTGTTCATGAACTCTGATCTTCATTAACCTTGTTATATCTGAGCTATAAAAATCCAGATGACCACTAGATGGCTGCCATTCTGATGGACTCGTAGCCCAGATAGAGTACAGTAGGCCTAAACTTTGTGTGCAGACAATTCCTCTGGAAGTAACCAGGTTCTCTATGCTACACTGCAATTTTATTTTATGGTTATTTTAATTTTGTTTAAAAATATTTTGCTCTCTTCAAAAATGCATACATCATTAAATTGATTGGTACGTTTGTTTTCTTTTAGATTATCTTTAGGCAAATTGATATTCTGCGACTGGCCAGCCAACCATGGCTGCACATTTTGTGAGAGTAGCCTTAAAATTCCAAAAGCGCCCACTGCTTCACACTACCAGAAACAGTTGTCATTATATGTCAATAAGTAATTGTACTCAGAAGCTCCTCCTTTTCCCAACTGGTCTGGATAGGAACTTGGTATCTCTTCCACTGAACAGTTGCATGTACAGGAAATGAAATGGAGGCAGCTTTTGGAAGAAAAATGTATCTTCTTCTTCTAACAATTAGACACCTACATCTCTGTTTCCCTGAGCCTGATCTCCCAGTCAGACCTACCATTAGGGCAAAGGCATCTGGCCAACCATAGGTTCTTTTGCAATGTTAGAGGAAGGGCTATCTCTTCCATCAGCTGTTCTATATTTATCTCCTTGGTGACCTCAGTTGTGCTGGGATTCCATAGCTGTTTTTCTACACAGCTACAGCTTCAGGCTGGTGGGGAAGGAATGGAAGTAATGGCGGGAGATGCTGGATCCTCATTCAGAAAGCAAGAGAAAGAAAAATGTCTGATTTGTATTAAATAGGCATCATACCCTGGTCCTTCATACCTTGAAGTAGATGACAGTGGCAGCCACAAAGACCCCAATGCTTTGAAGCAGGTCCCCCACCACATGTACAAAAGCCGCTCGGACACTGGTGTTGCTATGGGTGGGAATGGAGGGGCCACAGGTGCTCTCCTCAATCTGTTCATAGCCCCCTGTGCTGAGTCCATGACTGTGTGCAGAACCTGACTGATGCAGAAGGTAGGCCATGCTGTGGAGAGTTATAAGAGTGATAAATAAGTCATGTTTGTTTGTACTTCTCACCAAACAATCCTAAAAATCTCATCCATTTCAGCAAACCCTATAGTTGCTGATCCTTCACCAATTTTCCTGTTCCTTCACCAATTGTTGGTACAGACATTGGACTGGCATAGGTATCATATTCACACTGGTGATACTGTTTAATTACAAAGTAGTCAAAAGCTATATAAGAGAAGGAAACCTCCTCTGCTTCTTTTCCTGTTTCACTTGTTATCACAGTGCTCAAGGGGCAACCCAAAATATAGCAGCTACAGTATGGATCCTTATGGGCATCTCCTAATCAGTGCTTTTAGGAGGACAGCCAAGTGAAGTAGCAAATCTCTCAGACATGGACACATTTTATTTTCATACATAGTTATTTATCTAATATTTTAGAACTGCTCTGCAGGAAGCAAGACAGGCTAAGAGAAATATCACTGCCATAGGATCAGCAATGGTTTCCATGTTATCTCCAGCATCTTGGGGGATTAAAAGACGACAACTTTGGAAGAAGACATTTTGTAAAAATCACTAGTAGAGGGAAGTGGATTATGGAAAAATCAGATCAAACGTCCATCTTATCTAGAGGTTTCTTTCCAACCAAACCAGCCAAATAATTCTGGAACTATCAACAAAACCCCAAAAATGCAGTGGCGCCTTAAAGAGAAATTGAATGAGTCTCTTATGACCATGAACAGGGCCTGCCTGCTCATGCACAGGTTGCCCTCAACATGCAACAGAAGCTAGCTTGTTGTACAATGGGTCGCACATGGACACTCTACCCAATCATTAAATTTGCCTCCTCACAGAGTTAATATTCAACTATTTCCCCCATCCCAGTATTCCTTACATGATGTTCACTCCCACTGCACAGGCTGAAGTGCCCAGCATCGCAGAGGCTTCAATCTCATAGTCGTTGCTGATTATGCGGGCTGAAGCTAGGTAGACCAGCACTCCTGTAACAATCCAGATAGAGAGGACAGAAGCCAAGGCACCCAGCGTTTCTGTGAGGAAGAAGAGAGCTGCTGTTCAGGTTCCCTGATTATCTCAGCAATTTTCTTCTTGTTCTTTCTGCAAGCTGCTCAGGGAACAGTAGTGTAGCCTGGCACCCACTTCACACCTCAAGGGCAAGGCTTGGACCTCATCTTGGGCCTGTTCAAAATTATTTGGGGAAAATTTTGGGAGAACATACAAGCTGATTTAAATTTTCACATTGGCCCTTTCCCTACTTGCAATTTAGAGCTGTTTTATAGTGCCCTGACAACCACCATGTTCTCCTTAGATCATTTCCATGCATCTTTTAGTATCACCCAACCATCACGCCAAAATAACAGTGATGTACACAGGCTTTATATCACTTCTACAATGGCTGGGTAATGCTATGAAGACAGTATAAACCACAAGTATGGAAATGACCATGGCATGGCAACATTCATTTCATCACTAGTTGAAGATTTAAACAGCCTTATGTTGTGATTTCCCTCTTTAAACTTACATTCTCTAATCAGGTGTATTTAATGAACAATGGCACTTATAAGCTAATGCTCAAGATTTTAAATCTGGGTTTCAACAATACATGGAATGAGAACTGCCTGATGTACAAACTAGATTCAGAAGAGGCAGGAGCACTTGAGTTTACATTGCTAATATCTAATAGATAACAGAAAAGGCAAAGAAGCTCCAAAAGGACAACTGTTTTGGCATTTTTATTATGCTCAGGCTTTTAACTGTATAATCCACAACAAACTGTATATATACCTTAAAAATATGGGTGCATTCAGCCATCTTGCCTGGCTATTGAAGAATTTATTTGATAAAATAATTTTTTTTAAAAAAAGAATTTATTTGATGTCTAGACAGCAACAGTTAGAACAGAATAGGGAGCAAGTAAATGGTTCAAAATTGGGAAAGGAGTACACCAAGGTACTAGATTTTATTTAACTTACATGCAGAATATATCATGAGAAATGCTGGACCAGATTAAATAGAAATTGGAATTCAAATTGTTGGGAGAAACATCAACAGCTTTAGATATGCTGATGATACTTTGAGGTCTTGAAGTGAGGAAGACATCAGGAATCTCTTGTTAAAGGTGAAAAAAGAGACTCCAAAAGCTGACTTGCTTCTCAATATAAAAAAACCCCTAAGATTATGTCAACAGACAATACTAACACAGTGCAAATATGTAGAGAAGTTGTAGCATATTATTTTCCTAGGCTCAAAAATTCACAGGGATGGTGACTATAGCCATGAAATCAAGAGATATAACTTCCTTGGGAGAAAGACAAGTCTAGGCAAAATACTAATGTGAAAAGACAACAAAGGTCTGCATTATCAAGTCCATGGTTCTCCAGCTATAATATATGTCTATGAAAGCTGGACTATAAAAATTGATTGAGAATACCTTGGGTGACAAGAACACATAATTCAACAGCAGAGGAAGTAAAACCACACTGATCACTGGACACACATTAATAACACAGTTAATGTTGAAATAGTTTGGATATGCAATGTGAAAAGACCTTTCTCACATTGGAGAAATCCTGATACTTGGAAAAATCAAACTCAGTAAGAAAAGAGGCTGACAGAAAATAAGGTGGCTAGATATTATCACTGCTACAACTATGTGCTTGCAAGAACTCAAATAAGCAGTTGTTAACAGTCTTAGAGAAGCCACGACTGAGTCCCCAAACTGCAATAGGGTACATTGACATCAGTTCTACCCTATTCATGACACACAAGTTGGTGGATGATGTGCCAAAAAGGGACAACACCAAAAACCAGAGGAGAAAATCATTCTGAGGGCCTGTAATAGGCACACTCCCACATTTGGGCAACATGTTTCAGTAAGGAGCTATAATAGAAATAGGATATGGATCTGTGAGGAAGCCAAGTTTATGATGGCATTGTTTTGTGTTAACAAAAAGAATGGGGAATAATGTGGAAATAGCATTTGCTATAAAACTAATTGGGTGATACTGAGCCCATCCATTTTGTTCAACCTATAAAGGTGATGTGAGTTAAAATAGTTTTCTTCAGCTTTAGCTTTAAATCCTGCATTTCAGGATAACAAGTCTCCCATGCAGCTTATAAGTATTCCAAACAATTGTAAATAAAAACAAAATAACCATTATTTAATTACAAACAACCAAACTTCTAGGATCTTTCCTGTAGGGAAACTGATGGTAATGGTTTTGTGGGTGGCTGAAAAGAATCCAGCAGCTGTGATGGTGGATCTCTTGCCTTCCTTCCTTTTCCTTTCCTCATCAAAGATGATATGACTGCCTACCCCGAGAAGTTCTTTAGACTTCTAATTGCCAACAGATTACTGGCTGGGGAATTCCGGGAGTTGAAGTCCATACTTCTTAAACCTGCTGAGGTTGAGAAACACTGACCTAGACAAATGGTTGAAGGAAGGAAAGGGAAAGAGAACTGTAGGGAAGTCTTAGACAATGGACAAATACATCTCACAGAAAGCTATTTTCAAATGTTCAAAATAGGCAGCCCTGAAAATGGATGCTGGAGAATATTCCTGCTTGGTTTCTTTTGATCTTCATAAAACATCTAAAAAGGAAAGTAGATAGATTTACCTTCTTTTATCTTCAGTCAGTCATTCTGCTTCCTTACTCCCTCCCCTCTTGGAGCTATTTGCATGTAGCATTCAGAAAGCCTCTTAAACTCCTTACTATGAGGCTTGAAAAGCTCAAGCCTTAATCTAGGGGAGGGCCCAACCTTTGAAAAACTGTAATTTAAGAAGTATTGCTACATTCGAATTCAGCAACTATAACATAGTGTAGGTCCTATTAGATCTTCAGAGACCTTTATTCACAGTGCACATAAGTCCACACTGCTTTTTCTAAGCATTTTGCCTTAGATATCTGCTTTGAAATGGTACAAAAGGGAGAAGTCCATCCTTCTAGTCTTTCAAACACACATTTCTTTTGGAGATGCATCACATGTGTTCAAATGCTGTTTTTTTTTTTAATTGGTGTAATTATTTTATGGATAAATGGAGAGAAGCAAAGGGACAATAGGAAAAAAGCACCCACGGAGTAGGCAGTACACATATATTGAGTCACTGTATTGATTAGAGAGAAGCTCTTTTTTTAAAGAAGGTCTTTATCCCAGACTTCATACATGGGGGAGCAATACTCACAAAAGGATGTTTCAGATAGATTTCTGTTAGAATTCAAGGAAGTAGAACAAATTTAAATATAATCCAAAAAGTTGTTTCACTTATTTGCTGGGCTATTAACTTCAATAGATAAGACAGAGAAAAACAACTCTGGCACAGGGTATAATGAGAAGGAAGGAATACAGTGAACATTCTGTCCCAAGCCAATCCCAGTCTTAAAAAGAATCTGATCAGAGGAAAATCTTAAACCACAAGATCAGAAGGATTATCCTTCAGAATTCATTCATGCTGTCAACGGGTTAGTGCGAACACCCCTCAGATGTAGCACAAGTGAAACCAGGGACAAGGGTGCTGTTGTCTAAATGCGGTTTTTTTAATGAACAGAAAAAGCTTAAGTCAAAACCAAAAATCTGGTACAGTTTTCTAGAAATGTAAATTCCATTCAGACTTTTCTGTAGAAGGCCAACCCACAGTTACTCTAATGTCCACTCTAGCCTCTTCAGGCAAAATGGTAACCCTAATTCGCAAGCCATGTGCTGAAAGCCATGTGCACATGCTTAGTAATGCAACCATCTCCCCTCAGCTCTGATTGCTGGGTAAACAAATTTTCCTAGGTTGTATGTCAATTTGTGGAGAACGGCTCCAGCTTCTAGTGTAAAAAATATGCTTCAGCTTTCTGCTAATATCAGGGAAGGGATCTAGCCTGTTTGAATGATGTGGGTTGGGTAGTTATACTACAGGAATGCTATAGCTTTAGTCAATCAGCTATTGAGAGAACCTACCTGAGCGGTGCCAGCCAAAGCTCATGGTCTTGGTGGCTGGGCGAGTAGAGACCCAGAGTGAAAAGAGGCTGACGCCCATGCTGCCCATGTCTGTCAACAGGTGGGCTGCATCTGTCATGATGGCCAGGCTGTGTGCCAGGTATCCACCTGGAAGGCAAGCAGAAAGGCCTCAGGGGCCCTCAAAGGCAGAGGTGGAGACAGATCAGTTAAAACCTAGCGCATGCACAACTTGCTAAACTGGTTGATAAGATAACCTTGGTTTTTGGGGGAGGTGTCGCCTCATGTATTGTGCAGAGAGAGGCCTTTTAGTTACTTTATGGTTTAATGAGTTGGGTGAACCCAGTAAATGGGTTAATTCAATAACCAGGTTAAGTGTGTTTAGGTGAATCCAGATGATTAATAAATTAATAAATAGATGGGGCAGATCTTCTATTATACCTTTTGACAAAACTGACCTATGACTTCTCCAACCATGAAGAGAAAGCAGACCAGACAGGCAATACTGAGTTTCCGCCGAGCCTGGAGTTTCTGTTGACTTTGACTGGGGGAGCATGGCCCAAGGTGGCAATGGGGGACCACACAGGGTTCCATCTTGAGACCCACCATGGATATATTTGCATGGCCATTCTCTGAGGGCAGGTTGGAAAAGACATCTTGAGAACCTGCAAACAGACTGAAAAAAACATTGGGCCATCAGAAGAAACCTGCATCTGGGTCAGATGCCAAAGTCCAGATATCTTCCAGATGTTGCAGTGGTGTTAATCCAGATATCCTGCAAGAATAGAAAAATAGTATGGCAAATGGAGTATGAAGGCTTGAGCAGAAATCATGAAGATGCAGCCCATTGGATTCTGATGAGAACAGTAAAGATATAGGTTCACATTTATAAAATTCTAGAATACCTGATAAAAACCAACAGCACCATCTAGAAGCTCCATAACATTAGATTCCTGCTGGGAATAAATATTTTGGATTTTTATACAATCTACTTTCCCAGTTCAGTCCCTTTTTCACAATAGCCACTTGCCTGAACTGTTTGCTTTTCTATTATTTAAATTCAACCTATGGAATCATTCTTACTGATTTTTTACTGGAGTCACTCAGCAATTACACTCAGAAAAGAAGTTTATTTTGCAATTTGTGAACTCATTTAAAAAGCCAGCATGCTCTGGACTCAAATTCCCATTAATGTATACACCATAGCCCAGTGTTTGAACCCTTTTAGAAATTACATTTCTGAAACCCAAGTCTCTTCTCAAACAAGATGCAATGATCTGCCTTAAACAAGCCCCTGTGACTGTATTTTATTATTTCTTTTGCCTGGACTACATGTAACAAGCTCTCGGTTTTATGGAGAAATAGCTGTGCCAATTGGGCCCAAGAACAAACCACAAGCAAATGAGCAGAGCAGAGCAGCACACATTGACTGCACAACAGTTTAACCTGTTGACAGAATCAATCTGTTTTATGAGATTGTATAATGCACGGAACAATCAACTAGCTAAAGGGACAGGTTTGTATACCACACTAACCCACTCTCCAATCCATCCATCCACACATACATATACAAGCCATCTTATAAGTGATAATGTTCTACAAACACAGCCATTAGATCTTGAACTGTGCTGGTTAAGGTGCCAAGCAAACTCAACCAGTTAGGAAGGAGATGGGTGTACACAAGAAAGACATTTACTGAGAATCACCTTCCCACTACTGACCATCCACCTAAAAAACATAGGTCTCCAGTGGAGGGACCAAGGAGGAGGAGTCTATCAACAACAACATATTTTTATGATGGTCAATTGGAGTCTATCACTCATCCTGACAGTTAAACAAAATCATCCCAGCAATGATTGCAACTTGCTTCACTCCTTACATCTGAGTGAACCCAATTTTGTGAGTTCACACAATATATTGAAATATAAACCAACCAAATGGGTTGGGTTTGCCCACTATACTAAGCCACGAAAAAAATTAAACAAGGTTGACACCAAACATAGTATCTTGTGGACCCACATCTCTTAGATCTTTATTGAACTAGTTTGAGCATAGCATATTTGCCCTTGGTTTTGAGTTACTTGCAAGGAACAAAGAGTGAAGGAGAGTTCTTGACTTCCTGCCCTATTTGTGAGTCTCTCAGAGGTATCAGCCTGACCACTGCCAGAGGCAAAATTCTGGGTAACATGGAACCATTTTGGCCTGATCCTTGCAAGTGTAGCTCAGCTCTGAGATTCACCTCCCTATATTAATTTGGAACTTGGCAGTGTCTTTCATCAGCAGTCAGCCAGAGAAGACAGATGCTAATAAAACATTGCAGACACCCAGATGGATAATTAATAGCAAGGGATGGCTCAGTAAGCACTGAGCATCTTCTCCAAATTTTGAGCTGACTCAATTCTCTGCCCCAACAAGAGCTGAAAAACCCCAATGCACCTCATGAGGTTTTGCCACGGCAGCTGCACATTGCAAGGGCTCTTCTGAAGGCACAGCTTGACCCAGGAGCAGATGCAAGCAAGCCTCCAGCAAAACTCTCAGCTGCACATGTTTCAACAGCAGGCCACCTGGGCAGTCAAGAGGAAGTAGAAGGACTCAAGCTCATACTTAGCAGAAACCACGTATTTTGCTTTCCTCTATGGCTACCCAATCACTTTTGTACAACAGGAAGGTCTGGGTAACTTAAATAAGGAACTGCAATCTGCACTCAGGGGTAACTTTTGGGAGATCCCATCTCATAGTGCCTGCATGGCCTGAAGATTCACCACATTTCAGCTGTGTTGGCATTCACCTAGAAATCAAGAATTAAAAGATGTAAAGCCCAAATAAGTTTTGGATTAGCTCCAACGGCACACTCGCATCATGTCACCTAACAGTATTTCTCAACCTTGGCAGCTTGAAGATGTGTGGACTTCAACTCCCAGAATTCCCCAGCCAGCCTGGCTGGGAA